ATCCACACTTTTTCAGGTTCCCGAAATATTCTGGGCTGTGGCTAAAAATCGGGATTTTTTTCAGGGAGTGGAATGTTGAATACTGATTCAGAATTCTTTTTTTTGATTGTTTTTATATCCCCTAAATTTACAAAGCATGTGACTTTTTTTATTCTATTATTGGTATTTTATAATTACCATTTTGTTTTCCTCTCCAGTGTCTCAGAGTTTTGAAATTGACATCGACATGCTGTTACGTCATTTGAAATCGACACGCTATTTGCAACACATGCAAAAGTGCTTACTTTACTTATGATTTAAACGTCAACCCCTTGTCAAAGTTGGCGAAATGATGTATGTGAAAGGAGTTTGCACTTATATCTCAGAATATGGATATCCATAAATAGTACAGTCAATTCTCAACGTCAGATTTTAGCCTAATGCACAAAATGAAATACTCAACAATTAATATAAGATAATTGTAATCTTCATAAATACATATCCTATCCGATTCATCTTACTGGATATTCCCAGCTGGTCATACTACATTAAAATACATAAACACACACTGAAAAAACTTGTACAACACAAATAGAAATATGTTTTTTCGAATGATTTATTCGTTGCTAAAAAAAATATAAAAAGTTTAAACATCTGATTAATTAAACATGCTCGAGTCATAAATGTTAGGTCAACAAGAATGTTTTGCAAAATATTTAAACTGATTGTTGTAAAAACATGTTTTTCTACGGTTTGACTATTTCTATCTAGGTCAGCGCTGTTTATTTTCCAAAACAACCTTTAAAAAAAATATTTAAATTTAACCTCAGCAAGGAGTAAAGAAGCTCAAATGGGTTTCCGGTAATTTCACTGACAGCCTTTGAAAACGGCTAATTTTCCTAATCGCTATCAGATGTTAGCAATGGTCACGTGACACCAGCGTTCAATATTGATTAGCAATATGAAATTGACTCGTCTTGCTGTCAATCATCTGCAGTGATAACGACATTGGGGTAAAGATTGAATTAACCTGCACGGGTCTTTCAATTAACACCGATAACTGGGCCGACAAAAACAATCCACGGACACCAAATTAATTTAATCAAGAGAATAAAGGGTACAATTGATCACATCGCGACGAGTTACTTCAACGCGGGAGTTTTTATTGTGTGTAGATGAGGTTAACATGTTCCTCTGAAGACACAACAACCCCAATTCGTGGGTTAGGACGATTTGACTAATTGTTAAGGAGGAACCGTTTCATATTTCTTTTGATTTTATCTGCATCTTGTGAGCTGTCAAAACGAATTTCATTTTAAGCAATGACAGTGGCTGTTATCACAGCACTTATTGCAGAATCTAATTTTGTAGTGTTAGAATATTTCGTTTATTTGGTTATTTTACTGTTTAACATTCCAAACACTCCATCTTAAACTGAATTATAAAAAGCAATGACATTTGTTTAAAGGATGAAGTTTATCATCTTAAAACAACATGTTTTTGCAAAATCGATTTTTATGAAGTCGTATTCCATACATACAAAAGAAAATATAATTTGAATTTCATATTTTGAGTGATTTAGGAAATGATGTGTAGGCATTTAATACTATGTATGTCATTAATATATTAAAATTACAATAATATTTTCCGTTATGGATCAGTTGGAATGAAAAGTCTTACTCGAACTCAGTTTAAATTCATTGTTCACTTGCGTTACATACTCAAAAAATTAATATTAAGTCAGAAGATGTCTATTTCATTTCATATTTCCTTGAAATTAATTACACCATGAATTTGAATTCATTCGTTTATGTAGTGCAAGTATGTTGTATTATAACGTAAAGTTGCTGATTTCAATGTTTGACATCTTCTTGCATGTCTATTTCAGTGTAACGTTCAATGTCTGTCCCAGATTCTCATCGAGCTGTGATGTGCATTTCAGTCTCTCTCCACTTGCTTGTCTATTGCAGTGAGAGTACTTGCTTGGAATGGTGGTGTTATGGCTAACTTTAGGCGAAGATCGATAACATATCGGATTTCACAATGTCAATTTCATTTCTGTTAAGCTACGCCATTCACCAGGCATGGAGAACGTATTACAGAATTTTGAAATTGACAAGGTCGGGAAATCAGCATTGATGAAATGAACACGTTGTCATTTTGGAATGTTCCGTTTCTCTACATATTGTACACACTGGGTTTTTTGGCGAGTTAGAAATATTGTATTTTTTAACGTATTCATGATGTAATATGCTTAACTATTGATATATCGATGTTGAATGTTTTTGCGATTAAAAAAGCCCTGAAGTAAAAACATTTCTTCATGAAACTGACAAACATGTATGCAAATAGAAGTGTCAATTTGAGGAGATTATTTGAATATACACAATAATGACCAGACATCGGATCAAACGTATTCGTGTTACGTAACGGTATCCGTACATTTTATACACGTCGAGTTATCAACCCTAACAATATCATCATTGCTAGAAAACACAAGACAGTTGTGTCATTCAAAGATAATTAAACCAAACGGGATCACATATGACGAAAACACGATGACATGTAACCCCACTACCGCGACTTTCCTTCTTCCTAGCATCTAGACTTACAAGCTTTTCTTATGACCAAAAGTAGGGAAAAGGGAAAAAATACAAAAAAGACGAAATCAAAGCCAAGGGCAGCCCGACTAGTGATATGTCAATGTCAGGAGAACGATTTTGACACTTTGAAGATACCTTACATCTGTAAGGCAGTACGGAGAGGAGAGCTTGTTGTTTCCACCGCCGAGATTATTACCAGGAGATGCAGTCCAGGGCTGATATCATTTGATCCGAGTTTCCCCATTCCTTGGATACTTCCCTAAATAGCGACACGGCTCGGCATCGTAATTCTACCTCCAACTATGAATGGTTTATCCATTTGTTCGGTTCCGTTCTGTTTATTAGGTTCTTTCATAAACGCTTCTGTCTCACGTAATCCGAGAGTACGTTTATTCGGATCATCGTTAAATAATTATCCATCCCTGTACATGTATGTACCTTAGTATCTATCTATATCTTTCTCCGTATCTACATATCTGTGTATGTCTATCGATCTTCCTCTCCATCTTTGATTCAGTTCATGTCTTCTATCTTCCCTCCATTTCCCCATCTATTTACGTAACAGTTTAAACTCATATATAGTGTCCTTAGTATACAACCTGCCAAGCCCTGTGTATACAGACATCGTGTGTATAATACACTATGTGTATATTAAGATATGCTTACGAGCAAACCGGCTGTTCAACAAACTGTTCCTCTAGTTGGTCGTTCATTCGTTCTTCTCTCTATCCAGTTACACATATACACATATATTTGTTTTCACACTCAAACAGTGCGAACAGATTGTGTAGATATCTTTATCCACGGTTTAATGCTAATGTGTATGTTTAACAGATCATATTTATGTACACACGTGCTTTTTTATTAAGACCACATGGGCGTTATTTGCTTGAGTTGCAAGGGTGTTAATTTCATATACAATCAATAGGCAATTATCATTAGAATAATTTAATTTGATTGTTTGTGATTTGTATTTTGGATTCGCGTTCCTGTGCATCAACTTCACAACAATCAACAGATTTATGATGGGACTTTGTGTAGTACATGAAAAGCACACCCTATCTGTTGAAATGTACATCACGTATCAGTTGATTCTATGTTCAGCATCCTGACGTATTTATTTGCTATTGATGCTATCTACGCGCTGGTCATGTTAAGACACGTGTACGTTTCACCAATCATGAAATCGACTCATGTTTATTCAGATGTCATTCCGATAGCGCCATAATAAATAAAGCAAACAAAGCTTGTCGATTTCAGCTGAAATCTAAAGGAAATCAGCATGCAATGAGCAAATTAAATGCTTAATTGTTACAGTTATTAATCAGTGATGTGAGTGAGTATATCGAACAGGTGCTCGCCTCATCAAAGCTTCTGAAGCTCATTTCTGACTTAATTATCAGATGGGTAAACACATGCTATGTCCAATGTTTATTATGCAATTGACAAGGTAAATATCACTTTTTGATGTAGTTACAATTGTGTGTATGTACCGCTTCTTGTTGTCGTTTTCATGCTGAATGAGATTGATTAATGTAATTAAGGTACAATGTGAATGAAGAAATCAATAATAATATTGTTGCCAAGTAAATTTGAACAAAAACATGAGATTTACACAATGAAATATAGTTTAGAATCAAATACCGTTTCAGAATAAACATTTTGGAAATGTATGAGTATGTTCTGACTGCTATGTAATATACATACCTAATACCATTTATCAAATGAAATAGCCATCCTGATTATTATTTTAAGATAAATGTAACAAAAGATGAAAGTTATTAAAAACAAATCGGATTACATAAATCAAGGTAATAATTATGTCTTGTGTGAAACCTGAGAAGAAATATTGGCAATCAAAACGTCGTAAGCAACTGTTTTAATGAACTATATATTTCAGACCCGTGTTTGTCAGGCGTAGACAGTTTCAAAAGAATTATTTCCAAATGTCCAGGTGTCAAAACTGAAGCCGTTAATCATATTTCATAGGCACTCGTGTATACAGAAAAACAAGTATATCATTCTCGTCATATGCTCTCGGGGCTAGACAAACAAGGAAAGCACACCTTACCATTGTACACTGCCCTGATACCCTTATGAACACGTATGGTAGCAAAAAACCCTCCAATTATACATCAATTATATATATACTCGTTGAAAAGTTAAGTTGGTTTAGATTATTATGCATAATGATATTAAGTTATGATTCATATACTTTCATGTTTATACATAAATGGATATATATGTCAAACAGTATAAATATGTAAATATATGCTGAATTATACTGAAAAAAATGCTTTTAACATGCCGTGCAGGACGCAGACTGACTGAATGAAATTGACAAGACATGTGAGGAAATAAACACCAGTTACTCTACAGGAATGCACTGATATCTACTGTATATATGCGCATATTTACCTGTGATGATGATAACGATGAAGCTGTCGATGGGTAGCTATAACCGAACTGAGGTAAGGACATTGTCAAGAGTCAACGAGGTTCGCAGCTTACTGATAAACAGTCCACATAAATAAACAATCCTTTTCCAAGCTGCTCTTGAATCACAGGTGTGTGATTGTCTTAGAATCTCAGGTAAGTCATTTACCACCTGCCGTGCTCATCAGCTGACCACTGGCTATCTCGGGGTGGACCCCTATGGTCACTCCGTCCGTTCACTGTCCAGTTTGAGACCTTTGGTTTTGAGGCCAAGAGCGGATAATTCTTATCATGCGTTCGCTATACGGTAGGACAAGACATAACAGTTTCCCGTGTGTTTAGTGACCAGCTAGGCTGTCATCATGTCTCTTGCTTGTCTAAGCTGCGGATAGTACAAGCCCCCGGATTGGCTACACTCGGAATCCCCCGAAGCTTTGGGTGAAAACGAGCGTCTAACTTGGACGAGAATAGCTCAACGCGTAGGGAGACTAAGCTCCGCCCCCCACGTTTGAATGACAGCCGCGATAGTCATTTCATCTCATCTCCCGTCCGATCTTCTAACTCATTACTTAATGAAATAATTTCCTTTGCGTTTTACAGCTAAAACGGAGAGTACTTAGGAACGGCAATTTTTACACATTTATTTTGTGCGTTGGGTACAGGTAGTTCACTCGCGTTTGGAAAAGTAAATTGAATTTTCAGGACATTTTAAGGATAAATATTCATCTGCGTTGAATCGCCCGTTGTTTCATTATCTCGTCTAAGTAGACAAACTCTTCGGTCTCATTTCCCTCAAGTAGTTATCAAACATGCGAATAGATTTTTCTCTCCACACGAAAAATTAACCGTCCGCGGAGCAAGAATGCAGACTAGAAAATCATTGCACTGCGGCGAGCGTGTTGACTTTCGCCTTCCACTGAAGTCCCAGCAAAAGAAATCCCATCGTTTCACGCAATGCCCACGCTCATTTGAACAAACTAGCCGTCGTTGATGAAATTACCTGTAAAAATATTGCATTGTCGCTCGGTTAAGTGCCTTCAATCGATTTTTAGTATTGACTTTGTATTTCTGGCCCGTGTGTGAATGTAATGTCTAGATTCAGTAAACACAAGGTGTGTAACACTCGTTTTAGCTAACTTAATCGTTCTCTAGGTGTGTAGGGATTGCAATTCAAGCCTAATCCATTTCACAAAGGCATTGTCATTGCAGCCTAACAGTGTCCAAACAATAGTGGTCATTTTCAATAATATTTAGATACAGAGAAATGAAATATGAGTACTGGCGTCATATTTTCATCGAGGTTGTTTAATGCATAGACAGCCCCCAACTGATTTATATTCACATGGCAAAGTAGAAACGAGTTATTGTTAAATATTACAAGTCTCCCGGGTATTGTCGAAAATAATTGGGATCGACTTTTTTTATCACAGCGATTCAATTGTTATAAAGCGACTTTGCTCTCCGAGTGATCAAGCAATGTTCCTGTGTTCAATTTGGTAGGAACATTTGTCGTGAATACCACTCACAATAGTCGCAATCGCAGAAAATAAAGTCTTTTATCTGCAAGTTTCATTATTTTCTGTATCAACGAAACTATAGACATAGAACGGCTTTGTGACGCTCTTGACTGGGAATCAAGGTAAACAGTAAACACAGCAAGCAATTATATCTCTAACAACTGGACAAATTTACTTTTAATTAAACAGTTGTAAGTCGCTTGCCTATTTCAATATATGACAGTAAACTACTCGCAATGGTATTGTTGTTGAATCAGCGAGTTCATTGTTCATAGTATGTACTAGGCAGTACATTTTCAGTTCTGAAACAGTGGATGATTTTAATACTATGTTGATAACAGTCGCATACAGTTCTGGAACAAACAGTCAAATGCATTTTATTGGAGCGTTTTTCCTATTCAAACAAAACGTTTGTAAAAACGAATTGGTTGTGTAATTATTGTAAACATTTTAATACTCTAATCTTTTATGTTTGATGTTTGACTTTTTTTCTGTTGTAAACGAACGAGCATGAAATGTCTCAGTTAATATTTACTTAATAAATCGATAAGAATGTTTTCGAAAATAGACAATGGTGATTCGAAATTTAATTAAGTAATTTATATGGTATGAAATATTCACTTGCAAAGTACATGGCAAATATATCAGGAAGGATTCAATGTATGTTCAAAGTTATCAAAAATAATATTTTGGAATAGCTTAGCATTTTGTTTTGTAGCGACTCTTTTCTAAGTTCAACCATTTCGCATACATAGAAACAGACTCCATTCAATTCATCTTAACATTTCACCTGACATTTCAGTATTATAGTTTCCATGGAGAACAGTGACGCCACGACACCAGTGTGTCACATCAATAGGTCAATGTTGTGCTAGATATAATAATGTATCACCGTAATACATATGTGATGTGTAACATACCCCGACCCATGGGGTGTACATATCATTTGTTTATACAATCAAGTTGTAATGGTTGAACTTTCAACAGATTTTATCATTTGCCGTGGGAAATTAACAAAGACTGACTCGTTGAAATATTTGTTGTCTGTTTAGTATTTGCAGTATAAAATGTTCAGCTAATACCGAACTAGCATGGACTGAATATATTACTCTCGGAAGAAGTCAGGAATATTTGAAGAAAGATACAACCTAACATTCACCCCTTGCCACACCACAGCCACCCAATACACCCGTCGTCAGTCCCATATTCAAGAACCTCATTTGCTATAGGCTTTTATAAGGGATTACATGTGCCTTCGGCTTACATTTCGCGAACATGTAATCATCACTATTTGATAGTGATTCATAAACACATGCTCATGATACAGTCGAAATCGTATATCGACTTAGCTTTAAGCATAGATTTCTATTGAAAGTGGAAAGGGCTTTGTTCTTTCATTTTTTGTACATAGAAAAGTATATCATGCATAATACGCGCATTAAACAATGACGAGCAACCACTTGAATGTTTTAATAGTGCTTTGTCGTGTATTTCAAATAAACAAACAAACGCTGCGAAAATACTAAACAATTTTCATTGTCGGATGTCGTTACAGCATGTTATTACCGCATGTCATTTCCAACATCACAAAGGTCATTGAGAGTAAATTTCTTTTCTGTGCAATCGACCGTTGGCTCTTCGATTGCTACTGGTTACAAAATAATGTTCTGCGAGACACTACAATCCCTTACCTACAATTTACAAGTATAGATGTACATGTTACTGCAATACATATACACGGAATATACATGAATATGCAAATTGAAAACTTTCTGAGGTTGTCATTTACAGTCCCATGTTAACATTTTAATATTTTTAAAAATCAAAACAATAAAACAGGTATATCGTATTGTCTGAATGACGTGAGTTTGATAGCTAGACAACTACCACTTGATAGATCGTGGTGTCAATTTCGCTTTACCGATTGTACATTTCACATCAAGATAACGCCGAAGTTATCATTCTGTGGACGTGTTCTTGATTATAAACATCAAAATCCATGTCAATTCTCACAGAATCCCTCTCAAAATATGCCGCTGAGATGCATTTGTAAATATGAAGCATGTAAATTCAAACATTTAATGACATTTATTTTGAAGAAATATTCAAGGCATTTCAAGAAATGTATTTAGGTTTCATTGAAATGACCGATGTTCGTGTATAATACTACATTAACCAGAGTTCACACCGTGTGACCATATATTCACTAATGATATGTACAAGAGAAATGTACATCAACATTGAAATGTACAAGTACTCCACGTTTGGTATGATAAATCATTTCAGAGAAGGACATTGATTGTCGTGTTATTCCTTCATAATATCTAGTCAAATACGACCACACGAATACGATGATTTAATCCCCAACGTTAGCTGAACAGCTGTTTTGTAAAGATATATAGTAAATTGTAAAAATTGTAAGATAAATTCACATGTAGTTTAAGACAAAAGTCATGAAAAACCTTAGGATTTGGTTTTTATGTCCAATCTCTTTATGTACATGTGTAACAATCAGAGCTCAATATTACTCATTTTAATCTATAATTCAAGAAAATGAATGCAAAAACCTACATAACATTGACATCGTGTTATAAACAAGGGTTTGTCCGATTCATCACCGTCACCTTAAAACCTCAATATGAACTCTCGGGCAACAGAAAATATACACCCTTGTTTTAAACAAACAAGAAAGGGTTTATTCGATTGTGATGTGGTTGATAGGGGTATCGTCGTTGTGATGACCTTACGTTTGCAGTGTTTCGGCGGCTGTTTACATCCTAGTAACGTTTTTTTAATAACGTTTGTAATGTTTTGGTCATCAAATTATCAGGTGTACACTTCCTTTTGCCCGGATGTTTACCTGGCTGTGGCAATCAGTGCATAGTATTACTTATTTTAATCTATAATTGTGACTCAAGATTGATGAGAAAATATATACACACTTGAATAACCTAAACGATGCACAGCGCGTTATAAACAAGGCTTTGTCCGATCGATCGTCTTCAGTTAAAAAGCATAACATATTGCTATGGTCTCTTCTCCGTGTGTTGTTGGATTAATTGCACGAGTGATGTTCAAACCACCTCATACACGTCATCACTGGAGGCGAGGAAACATGAAATAATCTCCTAAAAAGAAGTTAAAGAACACCAGACTTTCCATATGACTATAGTTAATGTGTCATGCCATAAGAGATTAACTATAGTCAAATGAAAACAATCGAGAGTTCTTTAACTTCTTTTGAGTAGTACATGTATATATAAATCTATGAACATAACAATCGCGTGATAATCGGGAAAATATGTAGTATTTACAACACACAGGTATTCATATTCTTGCTTAGAACATGAACGAACACACGCCAAGTCGGATCAAAACTAAACACGACAAATTCAAATCCGTACAATCCCAAATTGTTTAGATCAATTTGATGACATTTTTATCAATTATTCTGACAATTACTTCTTAAAAAATGATATTTTAGACTTTCGTACCAGAACATGTAATTTGTTCGGTATTTGTTCCAAATACACAGAAGTAGGAAACTGGCTGTCTCGAAGATGTGCTAGTTAAATAGTTTGGTTAATTCAATAGAAAAGTCAAGACGATTTTTTCAAATGAACTTTACGTTTTAGTCAACAATTTTCTTCATTGCACGTGACGTAAATAAGGGAAGCATTTGGCGTTGCGACGATCCTGGTGTCACACTCATGTAAACATGCATTGGCATGTGTTCTTCCTGAAATGTTATCTGAAGTCTATTCCACATGCTCATGATATAGTCGGAATCGTACAATCGACACAGAGATTTCATATCAATACGGAATGGGTTTTGTCGCTTTTATTTCAATTATTCACTGACATACATTTTAGTTTTGAGAAGCAGAACATTCCGATTATATGAGCTGTGATGATTACGTTTAGTGGTCTTAAC